TATCCAGTGATGCAAGGTCACCTTCCAGATGTTGTTTCTGGTCTTTAGTTCTAGGGAAAGATGTCAAAAAAAACAGACGCACCTCACAATCACTTTTAAAGCTTGAATTACTTCATTTCTTAGCAGAGTTAGACACTGCTCAACTGTGGTCCGACTGAAACACTACATCCTTTGATCACAACTTTGTCTTGCATTCTACAACTTGGTTTCTTGTATTTCAATATTTAACTGGCTTCGTTACTAATTTAATATCAATTGCCAAGTCCACAAAAAAGGTTGTAACATTCAGCAAGTGCACTCTGCAAACCATACCAAGCTTACATGAAGGAAGCAACAAATCATGTGCCACTTTTGTACCCAGGATCAATACTGGCAAAGTTTTAGAATATATTGTGTTTTAGACCATTAAAAAGGGGAGAATAACCTAAAATTATTTGTGGTGAATTACACAGCACTCTCTCTCTGCTGGCAGTTTGACCCAAATCCAAAATGGACAAAAAAAACAGAAAATTTAATAATTCGATAAAGCCCTGCAGCCCAGTGAACTCCTCCTTTTAGTAGGTAAACCCGGTCTTTTATAGCAACCAAGTGCATTTTTTCTGTTTTTGCCTTTACCACTGACTGCAAGATCATTTTGAACATTTATTAAATTGCTGCCCTCTGATCATGAAACAAGAAAACAGAATGTCCACTAGGCTAACTCTTATGCAATGTTGAGGAAATGCAGATGGATTGTTAAACCAAGGAATTTTCTTTATGGCCCCTCAGATGGATACAAAGACCCTATGAGTCAATGTGAAGACCAGATGAGTCCTTGCGAATATTTACTTCTTAGAAGCACTTAGAACACATTTTCTGATCATTTATCCCATTGTCATTGGGACATCAGTGTGCAGATTTGTTGCCATCTTTTCCGACAATTACAAAAGGAGGTTACAATGCTTCTAAAGTAATAACTCGCTGTTTTGCGTTTTGCACTCTCCTGGAGACATGGAAGTACTATGTAAATGTACTCCTTCCTTTATTAATCTTCTGGATATTATTAGATAGTACAGTTCTCCTACACATATGCAAAATTACATATGTTTTCAATAACTCAACATGCAGTTTTCTTCTTTTCCAAGAAAAATAATGCTGAACTTATTGAGGTAAAGGGCATCTCTGCAGCCAATATGGAGGCTCAAACAAAACCTAAAAAAGAAAGGCAGCCTAATAAACAGTGGTATACAGGTAGGCCATTTTAAAATTTTATAAAATAAAAAAAGCTTCCTCAGCAATTGCAGTTTTTCTCTTACACCCAGTACTCTCACTTTTTGGTGTATACAAGCACACCTAAACTCAAAACCATTTTTCCCCTATCTTCAGGTATGTGGAAGTTCTCACAGTCAACACCCAACTTCAATCCATAACCTGTGCCAAATTAGGTGGATTACAATTGGTCTGTGTCTTGGCTAAACAAAATAAAATAATAGCTAGTTTTCATACACATTTGTTATCCAGTGAACTTTACTGTAAGACTGCACGTTGACCTTGGATAAAAATCAGAGTCAAGTACATGCAAGATGGCAGCCAGACAGTTGCACAAGGCATACACATGAATAACAGTCATAATAATGGTACTGTGTCTAAAGTTATGCATGCCTTCAGAACCCTATTTTACGACAGTATAAATTGGTTCGGAACAGTTTGGCCTGAAAAGAAGTCTTCTTCCCAGAATCTGCACTATCCACCTTCCCACAGAATGCTCTTTCTCCATACTGTTGTTAATGATCCTTATAAATTGGATTCGAAGATGTATAAAACAGTACATAAACTTTCTTCAATCCCTGATCTGTCTTTCAGCTGGCTTGGTGTGGCCAGAAACTCACCATCCTGGAAGTTGCGTGTGTAACATTGCGTGTGTTAGCTTAAATCACACTCTAGTATGATGCATGTGCTATGCTGCTTAGTTAGTACTAGAAGCATATGAAACAGTTGCAATAGAATAGCTGCAAATCACAACTCGTTCCTGCCACAGACACAAGTAGAACTGCTAAAATTAAAATGAATTTGCTGATACTCAAAGTTCAGTCTTTAGGTGGCAAAATCTGAAGTGTCATACTGGACTCAAAACATTAACTGTTTCTCTCTTCATAGTTGCTGCCACACCCAAGTTTCTCCAGAATTCTGTTCGTTTCAGATTTCCAGCGTCCACGGTATTTTGCCTTTAGATACTTTCTAATTACCCTGTTCAGAGATGGTACAAAACTACCAGGTGCCTTTACTTAGTTGTTAAATGCCAGATAAACAATTCTTCCAGTTTATACATGATCTCTCAGGTAAGAATTTTATACTGTCTAGAAAGTGTACTTTTGTCCCAAAACAAATTGGACTCAATGGCAAACAAAACATGGGAATAAGTATACAAACAGCATTTAAGGGGCTCTTGTGGCACAATGGTAGCGTCCCTATTTCTGTGCCAGGAGACCTGGGTTCAAGTCCCATCTCCCCCACAGGTATGTAATAATATCTCTGAACAGGCTAATTCAAAGATACCCACATACAACATTCATAACAGATTAGCATCCCAAGACAGTATAGCAAAAAAAAAAAAAGCTCAAGTCAAAAATAATTTGGTGACCAAAATAGCAAAGCAATTTCAAAAAAAGATGCAGGTAGGAAGGCACTGGTTTAGGAAAGGAATTCCAGATTTTGGGGGTCTAAATTTCAGGCACAGTGAACAGTGCAGCAACAGCAGCAGGAATTATAATTGATGTGGACAAGCTTCTGGATAAACAGGAATTATTGGAAAGTGCATAAAGGGAGGCTGGCCAAAGGAGCATTTGAGCAAATCGAGTCTTGAAATGACAAAGGCTGAATGAGGGCTTGAAATTGGCATACCTAGGCGCAGGGGGAGAAAATGTGATGAAAATGGAAGTGGTTATTGTTTAGGATGACAGGCATATGGGGATGGAACACAGCTTGGGAATTTTACAGGCCATATTTGCAAAACTAGTAATGTGTATGAACTGGCTGAAGGCAATTGGTTACCCGATGTTTGCCTAGCTGAAATCACAGGACGTCCAACACTGAAGCAGTAATCCAGAGATCTAGTCTAATAATGCTGTTGAATTGTTTAAAAACTCATCTGATTCAGTCACGACCTTTAAGAAAGGAGACAAACGAGGCATGGTCAGCACACGTGACTTAGTCCCATGCCACAAGGTTGACTTTTAACTGCCCGAGATTCAACAAGCTCCTCAGTTGCACTAAACTGCTACAACAAATACACAGCACATCAAAAAGGAACAGAGTAGGGGTAAATACTTGAGGGCTGTTTGTAGAGTCACCACATTGGATAGGCAGGAATGGAACTGAGGGTAGTCCCAAACAGCAAGGCAAAACAAAGGTGTTTGAGCTGGTGGCAAGACTGACAACGTTGAAACTCACGAAAATCATGCACTGCAATCAGAAGACACAGTTTAAATTTGAGGATATGGAAAACTAATTGGAGAGACAGATAGCCAGGGAAACTTAGGAAATAGTGTTCAAGAACCACGGAGAAATATTATGTCTGCAGTGGAAGCTGTGCAAAGGGCAGTTCTTCTGCTCAAGATTTAGAGCTGCTCAGGTCTTTGCAGAGCTACATTCGTATGCATGGTATAGCTGCCATTTTGATTTCTGCCAGAGAGGAGACACATCTGGGAATCTCTTGGGCCAAGATGATTAAAAAGTAGTGAAATACAGCTGTTTCAATAAACAGCAAGCTTTAAGCCAAATCTTCAACAGTTAACTAGGATGCCAGTGAAGGTCTTACGAATCTATGACATCAGACTGTGGAGCTGGAGAAACATGAATTAACAGTTTCCTCATTGAAAGTCAGCAGTTCCTGCTGGAATTGTGCAAGTCTGGGCATCTGGTGAGTACAGCTTCATGGTCAAACAGCACGCTGTTTACACCAACACAAAATAAAATGGACACCTGCCTGAACAACTTAGGTACCAGTAATCATTCAAGCTTTTTCATATCAAAATGTTTGTATTTTATTGGGATAAGGCAGTCTTGTTGAACTGATTGTTAGTTGACCAACAAACCAGGAGGAACTACAGGAATCTGCTATGGATACAAAAAATACAAGTTACACATCAGAAAAAACACAAAAACCTTGCTGCACTGCAGACAATGTTTACACTTGCAATTCCAAAAAAGATTTTAGATAATTTAGAAATAATTTCTCAGCCACTAAGAATCACAGCACAAACTTTTAACGCATCTGCATTGGATTTGACAGCTCATGCTGAACTTGTCCACAGCAGCAATTTTAGATTAGCTTAAATGCAATTAGCTGTAAGCCTACAAAGTACTATGATTCTTTAAGACTTGAAATGTTAATAGTTTTCACCCCACAGATGCTACCAGACCTGCTGAGTTTCTCTAGCAACTTCTATTTTTTCTGTTCCAAAAATATTTTTCTTGCTTTGAACACTACTACCGAATTTGTATTCGGAACACTACCGGGAAGTGCACTAGAATCCTAACCATTCACTGCCAAAGAAGTATCGCTTGCTACTGTCGCCAGTCAGCCTACAAACTCTGCCCTCCTGTTATTCACCCTTCCAACAACGGATACTTTCCCTTTACTTGCTCCACCTAAACCATCAATCAATCAAATCTCCTCTTATTCCTCTCTACTTGAAATAAGCGCAACCCTAGCTTCTGCAGTCTAACCATATAACAATGAATCCTTTCTGCACTCTCTTCAAAGCTCTCCTGTCCTTACTGAAGTGCAACCTGGACACAATACTCCTGCTGAAGCAGGAACAGGTGTAGGCCATTTAGCTCAAGTCTGTGCAATCATTCAATTAATAACGCTCTTGTGGTACACTAGTAGTGTCCTTACCTCCAGATTAGTAAGGCTGGGTTCAAATCCCACCTGGTCCTGACATGTGTCATAACATCTCTGAACAGGTTGATTAGAAAATATCTAAGACAATTCAATGAGGTTATGGCTGTCTGTGATCTATGTCACTATGGCCCCATATGTCCTAACAGTTTATCCTCAATAAAAACAAACAAACAAACAAACTCCAGGTTTGAAATTAACAAGCATCGCAAGATCAGCTACCAAACTTCTACCACACTTTGGATTTGGAAGCAGTTCCTACTTTCACCTTTGTGTGGGTCTAATTGTTAAGATCATGACCTCTGGATCCAGACTCCATAACTCAATTCAATTATATGTAGTGTACCTGTCCTTGATAATATTGAGATCTTTAATCATATCACTGGACAACTTTCTAAATTTCAGCTAATACAGACCCAACTCAGAATTTCCCCTTACCGGAATTGAGGGTCAGGTTGTATCTTGGGTAAATCTACAGTGTTCTACATCAAAAATGTCTATATGTCCATTTGTGGTGCCTAGAACTTCCCACAGTATCCAGGTGTGGTCTAACCAAGGGTTAGATGGCTTTTGCCCTGATATTTTACAAAGCTGATTAACATTCTTTTTGTTTGGTCACAGTTTGTACCTTTGAAAAAATATTAAATTACCTTATTTTTGTGAAGTTCAGTGAGGAAGATTAGCTGAGATACGAGAACTCCACTGATCCTCTTAAATACTACCATGGGATCTTTAGACCCCCCCCATTGCAAAAAAGGGCTATGGTTTAACATCTCATTCAAAAGACTTGAAACCGACAACCTTCTGATGTTGGTGTACTACATCTTAACCACGCAAAGCACTCCACAGCTAACCAATTCCATGAAGTTGTAGTTAGTGTTTTTTCATAGGCAAACACAACAGCAAAAGGTGCAAAAATTAAAGGTGCGACATTAAACTGTTCTGGTGGACACGTTGTCACCCAGGAAAAATTTAAAACTTAAAATATCTGGTTGACACAAAATGCTCAATAGCATGAATCTAGAGGGTAAATATGCCATTATTTCCACAGTTGAAGATCGAGGCAGATATGAAAAGAATCTTCCTTTCTTCCCCACCCACTTTCACCCCAAATTAGAAGTTATCCAACATTTAAATAACCAAGGTAGTTTTCACACTAACCTACCTCAAAGTTGTGTTCATTACTCTTTGAAGAAATTCTTCCAAGCCCAAATCATTTCTTCCCAACATATTGGTGTCCTGCCTAACCATATTGAGGCTGTGTGTATTATTTGATTTATGTGCTTTCACAAAGGATCACTTATTCCAAGGGGAAGAGTCTTTGCCCATACCTGGATCCTTTGATCTTGACACCTCTCTGCATCCTCTCAAGAACCTGAGTTTTTCTTTTGTCAATCACAAAAACTCGTCTCAGCACTCAATATAGTGTCCAGAATGCCATATCTAGAGATTCATCATTTCATCCCGCTATAACAACATAGCAGAGCGCTTTGTTTATTCGGAAGTCCATGCCTTACTTCATATTGGTCGGCACTGTCTTTTACTATCAGTTAAATTTCCGAATAAACAAATGAGATGTATATGACTTGGGAGCTTTTGCAGTCCACATTCCAAGAGCAATTTCTCCATCAAATGCGATGCATTTACCTGCAGCTCAGCGAAAAGTTTGAATCTGAAGCGATTCTACGGGCTCTATTCCAGCGCTGTGCAGCAAAATGAGATTTTATTTTGCCCTGCAATGTATGCACTGAGCTTTGCACTCGCAGCTTTAGCCTGTTTTTATTTTTTTTAAGAAAACAACTCTGTTGCTTGCTACTGTGGTACTGCGCATGCTCCCTCAGAAGACCCTTTACCGGAGCCCCCCATAGCTCACTACAGAAAAATAACAACCAGAAGCTCGATTCCCGTTCCCCACCAGGTTACCTGCTGTCGCTGGCCCCGCTTCCATCCCATATACCAGCGTGTGAGAGCGGATTTGCCCGGGTGTAAAGGCTCAAACCCCCGCGACCTCCTCACGCACCAACTCTACTCCACAACACAACACGCACACTGACACTGAGCATGCGCCGCCTGGGCGAGCGCTCTCTCCATGGGGGCCGCCACTGCGCACGCGTCACATGCAATGGCCCCGGCAGCCGGCTCTCTCCCATCACGCATGCGCCTAACACCCTTCCCCACCCCGCACACTACAATAAGTGACGTTCCTGTAATGTCATGACGCACCTGGAGACGACGACCTAGGTACAAGGTAGCGCCACGTTGCGGACGCTGGAGGAGCAGCAGTGAGTGGTTACTGTAGGTAATGTGTGGGCTCCTTAAAACTGACTTCTAACGTGAAAAGACGAAATAGCGTAGTATTGAGATAACAAGGTGTAGAGCTGGATGAACACAGCAGGCCAAGCAGCATCAGAGGAGTAGGAAAGCTGACGTTGCGGGCCTAGAACTTTCTTCAGGAAAAAAAAGCGTAGTATTGACACCAGCTTATCATCGAACAAGTTGAGAGCAGTCTGTTTTACAGCAGTCAATTTTAAGCGGCATATTATTAGCAGTTTACAAACTCATTTAGACAACAGTCTTCACGAACAGGGAATCGTTAAATTTGCTTCTGTGTTCCTGAAAGCTACGATTTTAAGTAAGTTGTTACCTGGACAAAACAATGGACAAGGTAAAATACTGCGTCATACATGTGCAGCACTGAACACCCAAAAGCTAGAATACTGAACAAACTAAAATATGTTATTATAAAATGTGAAATAAATACAATACACAAGTATGATATGTTCTTTTGAAAATTACACATGAAAGCACTTTTAAATGGTCCAACCTCCCTCTCGTGGCTGACGTTCATCATTGCAGAATTACCAACACTGACGTTTGCCATAAAATGGCTGGGGGCTTTATGACTTCTTTGCTAGTTCAGAATGGGAATCAAGAAAGAACGGGCTTAGAAAGAGATCCCTGGGACAGCAAGAACACAATGGATAAGAAGACTACAAAAGAAAATCATGCAGTGACATTAGTGGCTGAGTGGTTAGCACTGCTTCTCACAGGGCCAGGTACCCGGGTTCGATTCTACCCTCCGGCAACTGTGTGTAGTTCGCAGATGGGCTGGCTAGGTGTATCGGACGTGACAAATGCAGCGTTACAGGGATACAGTAGGGGGGGGTGGGAGGCTCTTCGGAGGGTCCGTCTGAAGTCGAGGGAAAAAATGGCCTACTTCCACACTGGAGGGATTGTATGATTCTAAGGAAGGGAGATCGAGGGGGGAGGTCGCAGACGCTTGTCTGGGTACCTCATTTATACCATGTGAACGCATTGAAGAGTGATACCAAAAAAAGTTGCCATGAATATAATAAAATTGGGACTGTTCTCCTTGGGGGCTGAGACTCTAAAGAGGTTTTCAAAATCATGACCTGCAGTCCGTTCACATGCAGCTTTCATCTACCCCATACTTAAGATTTTTTTAAAAAATTAAATAAAAAGTTTACCCCTCTTCAACCACTTTGCTTTTCATTTCTTTGGATATTCTCTCCTTTCAAAATTCAACATTAAGATTCCTCAAGCTTTCTGCGCTCTTGCTGTCATTTGACTTTTTTAGCCTTTTTGTTAGACAACCTGATAATTTTACATCTTCCCCGCTTCTCTCCTGTCACATGCCAACTAACCCATCACTGTTTCCTTATAAAAGAGGGAACAGTAACACCAATTCTCCTCCTCTGCTCCTTTAAAGTCTCTCCCGACATATATACTCCCTTACCCATATCTGCAGTAAAAAAAAATCTAACTTTGAAATCTAGAAATCAATAAATAATGAGGATCATGCAGGATAATAACATTAAAAGGATCAGCCACGTTCTAGTTGAATGGCAGAGTGAGCTCGAGGGTCTGAATAGTATGCTGCCGGTCCTAATTCCTGCGTAGTCACATCCACCATTGAACGAGCTGGACTGGTTTTGGGATGCGATAGGGGGAGGGGAGATTTTCACATCTGCCAGTGTGATATACTGCATCCCCTGTACCCGGTGTGGCTACCTCTACATCGGGGAAACCAAGCGGAGGCTCGGGGACCACTTTGCAGAACACCTACGCTCGGTTCGCAATAAACAACTGCACCTCCCAGTCGCGAACCATTTCAACACCTCAGACGACATGTCCATCCTGGGCCTCCTGCAGTGCCACAACGATGCCACCCGAAGGTTACAGGAACAGCAACTCATATTCCGCTTGGGAACCCTGCAGCCTAATGGTATCAATGTGGATTTCACAAGTTTCAAAATCTCCCCTCCCCCTACCGCATCCCAAAACCAGTCCAGCTCGTCCCTGCCTCCCCAACCTGTTCTTCCTCCCACCTATCCCCTCCTCCCACCTCAAGCCACACCTCCATCTCCTACCGACCAACCTCATCCCGCCCCCTTGACCTGTCCATCCTCCCTGGACTGACCTATCCCCTTCCTAACTCCCCACCTACACTCACCTTTACTGGCCCCATCCCCACCTCTTTGAACTGTTTCCTCTCCTCTATCCATCTTCTATCTGCCTCCCCCTCCCTCCCTATTTATTTCAGAACCCCCTTCCCCTCCCCCTTTTCTGATGAAGGGTCTAGGCCCAAAACGTCAGCCTTTCTGCTCCTATGATGCTGCTTGGCCTGCTGTGTTCATCCAGCCCTGCACCTTGTTGTCTCGGATTCTCCAGCATCTGCAGTTCCTACTTTCTCTCCCCAATGTCTCTTTATGGCATCTCAGACCTCTCCTTATCCCCTGCAAGAAATCTATCTCTTGTTCCTCCTCATTTTTGATTCTCACTAAATTGCTGAACATTCTTGACCATGGAAGCTGGTGTTAATTTTTTTTAAAATTCATCCACAGGATGTGGGCATCATTAGCTGGGCGAAAACTTTTTGCCATTTTCTAACTGTCCAGAGGACAATTAAGACTTAACCACACTGATGTGGGTCTGGAATCACATGTAGGTCAGACCAGAGAAGGATGGCAGATTCCTTTCCCAAAAGGACATTACTGAGCCATATTGGTTTTTTTTTTTATTCTGCCGATCGACAATGGTTTCATGGTCGTCATTGGACTCTCCTTTTCAGATTATTATTGAATTCAAATTTCACCATCTGCCATGGTGGGATTCGAACCCAGGTCCCCAAAATGTTACCTGGGTCTCAGAGCTAATAGTCTAGCCATCATATCGCTAGGCCATTGCCTATCCTTAAATAATAATTGACAAATAATTCTCTTCAGGTATTGCACCCCTCATAAATCTGCCTCATCACTTCCTCCTCAAAAAGAAAAGAAATCTTTAACCCTGAAGTCCATGTAAACCAAAGTCCCCAGCTCCAATTCTCTTTACATATTCAAAATCCTTAAATGTGTTGTCAATTCCCAAATTGGAAATCCCAGAATGCCATGATTAAATATTCCAAGCACCCTTCCGCCTAGCTTAGCAATGAAATGTCCTTCATAGTTTCAAAATATAACTGTGACCATGGTAAAGTATCCCACATCTTCTCAATCAGTCTGTAGCGTGAAACTGTTGATTACACCATCTTCATTCAATTCATCTCCTCTGTCAAAGCCATTGCATTCAGTTCCATCACAAACGTTATCCAACAACTGACTCCAGTTCTATTCCTGGCAGCTGTTATAGACTGATCCAGACTGTTCACAATGGTGAATGTCATATTGGACGCAGATAATTCTTTTGCCAGCAAGACCTCCATTCCCACTTTTCTAACAGCATCCGATTACACCAGAGCCTCAGCTGTTTTGGAAACCCTCATTCTCATTTTATCCTTAGAGTTCAATATTCCAATGTACTGCTGGCTAGTACCTATCTTCCATTTCTATAAACCTATAGAAATCTCTGCTGCCTGTATCCTTAATCAAACTAAACCGAGTTCACGTTGCATTCCTGAGATTCTGATCCTACCCTGGCTCCTGGTTAAGCAATACTGATTTAAAATTCCTATTCTTGTTTTCAAATTCCTTAGTGACATTATCCTTCATCTTTAACCTCTGCCAACTGTAGATATCTGCACTCCTCCAACACTTGGTCTTTAATCCACTCTTAATTGCTGTACCAATGGCAGCCTCTCAAGGACCTGAAACACTGAAATCACCTCCTTGCACTGCTCTACCTCCTTTAAGATGTTCATAAAATCTACCTTTAACTAAGATTTTGATCATCAGCTGAAATATACTTATATGCCTTTCAGGGTCATACTTGAATAACTCTGAAGTGCCTCAATTTTTTTAAAAACTACATTAAAAGAGAAAGCTTGCATGGTGCTTCTTTTTAATTAAGGTTTTTGTTTGATCTCAAGTGAGTTTGACTCATGTATTTCAACTGAAAAATTGTTGAAATGCTCAGGGTGACCTAAAAGGCATTTTGTTATAGATTCAGCAAGAAAGACATATGTCCATTAAAATCACCAAATCTGGTGAATGCCAGTTTCAAGGACTGGTTCCAAGCTGAAGACCGCAAATGTCTGAAAGTACACCACCCAAGAACAAAGTCCAGGTGCGATATGTATATGACATACAGTTTTCTTCATGACTTGTCATCCGAATGTGGAAGTCATATCGTCTGGGCCCTATATGATATCTAAACTCAGAATGGCATTTTGTAAAAAAAGAGGGAAACCATTTCAAGGATGGAAATTAAAAATCGCGTCAGAACAATGTAATTTACAACACAGAGGCAGATCTGGTCTTCACTGGTTCCTGGCAAAGACAATCCAAAAACAATACAACTAGACTGCTAACTTATTACAGTTCTGAATTTACCTCAAATTCAAATGTGAAAGCACTTTTCCATACACACTGCATTTAACTACACAAGGAAAAAAGTGGTCTCTTTATACAGTGACGCTTATAAATTACAGGCTTCGATCACATCTCCCCATCACTGGAAATCATCTCAATGATCTTGTTAAAGTGTCATGGGGAAGAAAAATCTAATTACTCTTTTCTCTCGTATAAATAAAATCCTATTGTTTCAATATTGATTATTCATACTTTTACATCCTACATTGTCTTTCTCCTGTTGTGTTCAGTATTACATTTTCAGTCACCAGACAGGCATATCTCTTTGCCCAAACTCCTGAAGGTCCTGGATTAGACAATTTTCAATAAGCAAACCTGACATATAATCCTAGGATTGAAGCAAATGGAATTTCATGGTGGGGCGGGGGGGCATGATGCATGATGCCCTGTATAGGACCTTTTACTAGACTGAAAGCAGATACCATTCATCTAGTTAACAAGGAAACATTTCAGAAAATAGTTACAACAAACTATTCCTGGTACATGTTTTTCAACATTCAATGCTTGGTCCTCAAGAATTTGCGTTTTGAACAACAGAAAGGAACAAGCATGATGGATACTTCACCCAAATGAAATTAATCAGTGAAGAGGAAAGAATCATGTATCTTTAAAAATCATGTATGTTTTTTCCTGAGTGTCTGGAAGAGTAGAGAAGACAATAAAGACCTGTCACTTTGGGTTTCTTTCTTCTCTCCCTCTGTCCCTTCTCAACCAATCAATCAATCTGCTTCTCAACTCTCCAAAACCACACTGGTAAGCAGCAGGAGTATGCCCATTAAGGATGTGCAGTTTGCTAACTGCATAGTAATGGAGGTGGTTGCGCATTAGAGGTCATTCAGATCAGGGGAGGTGATGGCCTAGTGATATTAATTGCCGGTCTGTTAATCCAGAGACCGAGGAATGCTCTGGTGACCAGGGTTCGAATCCCACCATGGCAGATGATGGAATCTGAATTCAATAATAATCTGGAAAGGAGTCTAATGATGACCATGAAACCATTGTCAATTGTCAGGAAAAACCCATCTGGCTCACTGATGTCCTTTAGGGAATAAAACTGCCATCCTTACCTAGTCTGGCCTACATGTGACTCCAGACCTGCATTGAATGCTAGCCTCATCCTGTGAATGAATTTAAAAAAAAAAAAAAAATCAGGAAGTCTGATTTCTGTGGCAACATACACTTTTACATGCATGCTGTAGTCTAGAGTGCTGGACTGTGTTAATGGAAAATACAAGTTTCCTTCCAAAACATGGTTGACCATCTCTCACTTGTACTGCATGCCACCTGGAACATGCTGGAAGGATTCACAGGTTAGTGAATCAACTGTTTTAACCATACCTTGTGTACACTCTCCTTGGTCATCAAATCCTGGGGTGAGACTCAAATTTGGAGCTTTTGACTCACAGGCAAGGACATTACCCACTCAAACACGAGACCTTCCAATACCAGTAATATGACTGTAAATGATTAGGGTCTCCCACCAGCAATCACAGCCTGTTGTACCGTACCTGCAATTACACCCTGCCCCCTCTTGGTATCATGGATCCTTTCTAGTAATTTCTCTTAAAACTCACTGTACAACCCAAATTCTATAGCAATCGCTCCAAAAAGGAAGTGCAGCTCCTCTCCTCAAAGTGAAAATACTGTCCACCATCCTATGTGAAACTAGCTCACACTCCTGAAACAAACAATTTGTATAAGTAAAAAGGTTAAATAAATTAGGAAGACAAGAGACATATTTCTTTCGCACACCAAATCAAATTCTCTCTATCACATTCTGGAATTTGAACACCGTGCAACTAATTAGATCAACAGGACTAATTTCCCAGGATTTTGGTCCCAAGATTATATTAAAGAGGATATAAAATGATCAAAAAATAAACAAGCATAACCTGTAAGCTATTTTCAATTATGATTCAGTTTCCATTGATGAAACAGAAAAGTCTACATCTGTAAAAAGTACAAATAAAGGATCATGTACACAACCTTGGTGAGGCATCTTCTGGAGTACTGCGTGTAATTCTGATCATTCTGTTATAGGAAGGATATTATTAAACTGGAGAGCGCTCATTGAAGATTTACCAGGATGTTGCTGGGAATGGAGGGCTTGAGTTATGAAAAATAGCTGGTACTTTTTTTCCCCAGGAGGGTAGGAAGATTGAGGCATAATTCATAGAATCATGGAATCCCTACAGCCTGGAAGCAGGCCATTCAACCCATCAAGTCAACACCGACGCTCCAAAGAGCATTCCACCCAGACCCACCCCCTACACTATCACCTCACATTTCTTTATAGATGTTTATAAAATCATGAGGGGCATACATCAGGTGAATAGCAAAGATCTGTTCCTTAAAGTGGAGAGTTCAAAATTAGGGGCATAAAAATTTTTAAGGTGAAAGTAGAAAGATTTAAAAAGGCCATGGGGGCAACATTAAAAAAAAAGCAGTAGTTCGTTTGTAGAATGAGCTGCCAGAGAAAGTATTTGATGCAGGTACAGCTGGAACTATTAAAAGACATTTGGATAGATATGTGAATGGGAAAGGATTGGAGGGATATAGTCCAGAAGCAGGCAGGTGGGACTAGTTTGATTTGGGATTATATTCAGCATGGACGAGTTGGGCCAAAGGGTCTGTTTCCACGCTGTATGACTATGACATAAGTGGAATCCATGTCACAACAGAGTGCTGAATAGGCTGTGAACAGGATAGCACAATTCTCATTTATGTGTCCAAAGAATCTAGTCCAATGGCAAAAAAGGCACAGTATAGTATTGTCTAAAAGTTATCACCCATGCGAACCAGATATGCATAGTATATTCAGGCTTACACCGGGCAATTCTCAAATCTCACACTGGTAAAACACTTGGTATCCTCCAACCTTAAAGTAAAGCAGTGCAGCTACCAACCGTCCCGCACCCTCAACATTAGGCGAAAGGTTGATTCAGCAGCTACAGAAAATGGTCTGGTTCAAGAAAATCACATTTCCTTGCTGTTGAGCCAGAAGACCTTAGTAGAAATTTGGTCTCTGACCCTCAGCAAGTAGCTGATCAGCACATTATTAATTGCTATATTCATCATTTACTGCACCCCACTGAATAGATAAAAGCCAAAAGATCTGGTGGGATGAACAATACGTAGAGACAAACATTCAGCAGCCCCTAGAATCCACCTTCAGAGCCCAAGCCAGCATGTACACAATATATTGCAACTGATACTAAAAAAAAGCTGGGCAAAAAAAGTGGAAAAAAAAGCATCAAGTTGATAGACTTTGGAAATTCTGGCACAAAAATACCATTTTATTTTGTTACGTGAACACAAATTGTCCCCGCAGGCTAAAAATCATATTGCAGTACAGCTTTGTAATTCAATCAGCCAACATCTTTTCGCATTGTAGGGAAGGTTATCATGTTATCCATACCTACAGCTCAAGAAAGTACCTCGTATTGGTAGACATATTCATAAATCAAGACTCAATAAAATAATCAACAGCACTTATCTAAACATATGTATGGGAACTAGAAAACAGTTTTTTTTTCCAATTTTAATGAAAAATGCATACATTGTACCAAGAACTACACACACACACACACACACACACACACACACACACACACACACAGGATACAGCAGAACTATGCAGCATAAAATGCTTTCAATGCAGTTTTGTACATCGGGGACCTTAAGACCATGGACCACCAGGTTATTATACAGTGCCACTACTTACAAATGTCAGGCTCCAATTCCTCTTTCCTGCACCCCAAAAAAATCTCATTATCAACAAATCAGTCATTAATGAACAAGAAAGTGACAGCATTTAACATTCAGAAAGAGCAAACTGCATTCTGATTTGGACAAATGTACACCAAACATACTTAAGATCAGTTTTAAACAGGTAATGAACATAAACAAAAACAGTAAGTGTTATGGTGGTACATCAGCTTAGATATCCAAATTGTTCAGTGACAGAAGTGCAGATTCACACAGGGAAAAAACCTTGCACAAGTGACAAATGCAGAATTCAATGAGTGGTGTCCTCTCTGGAAAATTTAATTAAAACCCATTTACCACAATTGGCCTTCTACTTGTGACTTCAGGGACACGGCCTAATCTCTGCAACTGGGGAATTTATACCAGCATTCAACAATACAACAAAGTTTTCAAAATGGCAAAATACAAAAAAATACAGGATCAATCTACTTGATTCTATAGTCCCACATATTATCTCTAAATTTATGATGTATATTGTTTGCCGGGTAACAATAAGGACGTAGTAATCATTAGATACTTCGGCTGATGTGGTACTAACCCGTCCAGACTGTGAAGGCTCCATGTATGTTTTTGTTGGGTGTTTGTGTATTTTGGGGTGGGGGTGAGTTAAGGTAAGGGGTAGTAGTAATGGAGTTTTTAAAAATACAAATCATGCATGATGGCGAGAGACTTTCCATTTTGAAGGCATGGATTTTTGATTCCTTGTGAAACACAAATATATTTTCTTAAAAATACTCTGAAAATTGCAGGAAATTAATTGTATTTATTCAAATCTTTGGACAATCTAGTAGGTTCAAAATAGTGCACTTTGATTATTCACCCAAATCACAACTTCAATTTTGGTATAAACAGAATTTGAATTTTTTTGATATTTCACATGCAAACCAAATGCAACACTCCATTGCCAAGGTACAGCAATGTTACAAAAACACTTTACAGTAGCTATCAATAAGTTACAGCAACAGTGCTGACACCCACTGAAACAACAGTCCTGCTCTTCTCAGTTATGAATAAAAGTAAAAACTTCTAGAGATATGGAGATAAAAAAGCAGAAGAGAATTTGAATGAATGGGTGAGTTTTAATTGGAATGGAATAAATGTGACTATTGCAATGATTATACATCATTAAGATGACAAAATCTGACCAAAAGCTGCAGCTGGTGAATCAGAAAGAATATAATTTCATTTAAAATGAGACATTTAGAGTTTCTTTAAATTATAGAAGTGCAGAGAGCTGTTAATACATGAAAGACAGTGCCAGTTAAGTGGTAGAAGCAGGGAATCAGTAATGGCTTCTATAAAAGGAAATTAAAAGAAAACAAAATAAGAAGAGTGTTGGGATAGTGCAGAAGAATGCAGCTAAACAGACAGTTATTTGAGAACATACGGAAACATAATGGGTTGGATCATGACCTGTGTGGTGAAACTGTATAAACTGAAATACAATGATATTACACCTGATGGCAATTGTCCTGCCCATTTGTGTTTCAAATTTGTTAATTTGCATTATTAAAAATTAGTACACAACCTTAATATGTACTTCAGTTAGCCTTAGTAATATTATTCAAAACATTCCAAACTGTCATGATCAGTTTCGGAGTTTTAGTACATAATGGATCAATAAAGTGACATACTGTCCCAGAAATCCCTCCTCCAAGCATTTAAAAACTTGTTTCAATCAACTTTGCTTCTTTGAACTCATTCTCTTGTCCTTTACACTGCTGCTGCACCTTAAGCTTTCAGCATTAAATTCCCATGAAAGCCCTTATGCCACTGAGCCAAAAGTTGGTACATAGAATGCTTTCACTCCCATGTTGATGAGGTAATTATTTCATTATGATGTGAAAACCAAACCTGCTTTTTTCCAGGAGTATCGGAATAAATCAAGTGAAAGATAGTTTACCTGTAGTATTAGGAATTAAAACCTCAAGAGGATACATTTTCTATTAGTTCTGGGCATAAACAGCTACAGTTTTTCCTCTCCTCAGAATCAAACATTGATATTATATCCCTGAAATTTGTCCCAAAACTTTTACTATATTACTGTATTAAGCTATTTAAATTCTGCCAACAAATGCTATTCATACTTGGAAAATAGTTATTTGAAAATGCCCTGCTCTAACTGCGAACTACATTTACAGCATTCACGCAAGGTGAAAACAAATTGCAAATATTTCCTGCCACTCCAATAATGTAACCTCTACTGACACAGCTATTCTTTAGACAAATCTCAGAATAATTGCAATTGAAAATTATATAATCCTGTAGCTTGCTCAAGGGTAAGTATATAGAAACAGAATATTGTAATGTAAAGTCCAATCTGTCTGCATTATATAAATTATTTGCGAAAACATTTGCATTCTTTTGAAAATATGGATCAAATAGCCAACAAATATACATTTCTATTACAATCAACATAAGTTAAAGAAAATATAAAATATACCCTATACAAGATGTGCCACTGAACAAAGGGTCTGTATGCTCCAAGACTGAAAGACAATTTTTATCCTGGAGAGCCATATTTTTGAATAAGAACTTTGAAAACTGTCCATAAAAATACTGTCCATAAAAGTTAATCTTAACCTCAGCTTCAAGCATTTTTGGCACCAGCTAGTTGAAACAATCTAATCTGGAAGTACCAATAATTCTATGCTGTGTCATAGTAGGAAAGTCCAGTATGCTGGCTAGGTGAATTAGCCACAAAGTGCAGTGAAGTAAGAACTATCAGTTCTGCTGGTAAAGTTTACTGCATTAAGATTGTAAAGTCTGCTCGAGAATGACGTCTTATTTCAGCTGCTGAAATTGTGTGTCATTGAAAAGGTTGAAGTTTTGAAAACTATTGCAGATATTGTTGAAGTGCATGTAAAACTTAAAAGCATAAAACAACACCACAATCCACATAAAAAAGGTGCATTTAAAAAAAGTCAATAAAAAAGGACAGATGCTACATCAAGCCCCTTACAAAAATTGGTCGCTTTACTGATCCATTTACTGCCAGGTTCTCACAAACCCAGTAATCCTGTTTCTTTTTCTAAAAACATTCAGCAGCAATTTCATGAGCAATACAATGTACGAAGTGTGAATTATAAATGGAAAACTGACCATAAAGATATTAGCTACTAGATTTGTAGCTTTAAGAATAGCCTTCAATGTTAGCAGTTGTATTTGACTGCCTACAGCAAGATCAGCTTCAAGGAAACAAAAAGAAATGACCTGTGTCAATTTGCAAATGCCAAGATAAAAAGTCAAAGGCAATGCCAGGCATTTATGTTAATGAAACACAGGTCAGTCACCAAATTAAACAGTTATAATGAATCATTTCAGCTACTGACAAGGACACTAACTTTTTTGGGTGCCAGTAGGAATTTGGAAGAAGACAAAATGATACTCACATGATGAAAAATCACGGCTATCATCATGAAATCTTGACATCTGTACAAGAGCACAACACTTGGGAGGAAAAAAGCATACATAGCCATTTGCTTGAAAGCAACCAATAGTTAAATTGGACATACTCTGATAGAAACAAACAAACAATCTCCTTAGGACTACTTTTATCTGCGGAATGTCAAAATACAATACATGGAAAGCGACATGACAAATTTTGTACGGTGCAAACAAACAGATTGCTTTCATCCTGATGATCTTTCATAAAAACAATCACAAGCTACAACTCCTGAAACAGACTTGAATGCTCAAGAAAATTTTTGCAGTTTAAAACAGCATTTTTCTTTGGATTCCTTTGATTCCCTTAATAGCAAGTTTAAAAAATACAAAATTTTGCTTGCTCAGCTGAAGATGGCACAAAGTGGATATGCTGCTATCCTTGAAAAAGGCTCACTAGCCATGTAAAATTGTATTCTAAAACAAGGGTGGAGAACATCTTAAATCAGTTATCCTGGTCAAAAACTTCAGAATGAGATTTGGAGATTTAAAAGGAAGGCCGCGTTTCATCATCCACACATTCTGACCAGTTAACTCCCTTCCTTTACAGTTTGCTTGTCTTATCTTACAGTTGAAAGTTTTGAACATATTGCACAAGTAAACTTCAAACAAACATAATAAAGGATCACACAGTATGCAAACTTTAAATAAAACAGAATTATGCCTGATTATGAATGAAGATATCTCTTATACAAAGATCCATTTGTCCTGCAGTTTTATGCCCAAAGTTTCAGCCTCCTTGCCAGGAAATCAAGTTGAATCTTTCTTGCCCAAAACTATAAACTTGGACAGACTAGTTAGAAACAGCCCTAATGTCAATACAGTCCAAGTATTTAAGCACCGTAACAGTTTTGCGAACTCAACATCTTTCACAACTTATCAAGCTGGCACCTTAAGGTATTGTACTAAAATTCATTGCAGCAAAAATACAGGTACTTAGAAGCTTCTGAAATGGATGAACCAAAAAATAAAACTGGACAATTTCAATTTCCAATTCTGTATTAAAAGTTCATGAATGCTTTTTCAAAATTTCCAAGTACAGTCCAGTCCACATTTAGCATATACAACTCCAGCAAGTAAATTCTGCAAAATAGCAGTTTCACTCCTGGTATATGCAACTTTAATTTGAGGAATTTTGTCTACCTATTGCATATAACAATTCTATCAACTATGATTAAGGTTTAAAGGTAAAATCACAAAATGTTTAGTGCAAAATCCCTATTTTAAACAAAAATTTGCTCTAGTACCAAGAATGGAATTTATCAGTGGCAGCTTGGGCAGTTCGCCATTGCATCAATTAGGATTGTCACGGCAAAAAGATGTCAAACTAATTATCTTGGATTTATATAAGCTTTGATTTTCGATTTGCCACATGCCTGCCAATGAGTCAAAATAGTCAACTGTGGGAAAGACACAGTTGCTGGCATAGCACAAATGGATGATCTAACTGGGATGGACAGTCCAGCTGGCCTTACTTAATAAAAAGGAACAAAAATGGTCAGACCATCAAAAAGTAGAGCGCCCACTATTATGCAGACAAGTTTGGAGTTAGGCATCTCGACATCATAGGATATTGCAAATGTTCAAGCAAAAAGTTTCGGAACCATACAATAAAAACAAAATGCTGAAAACACTCAGCAGGGCTGAGACCATCTGTAGATAGAGAAACTGAATTATGTTTCAGATTGATGACCGATAATCAGAATTGGCAAAACCTTTTTTTCTAAGTTTACTCAACTCTGATGAAAAGATATTGGCCTGAAACAGTAACTGTTTCTCTCTCCACAGATGCTGCCTGACCCAAACCCTTCCAATGTTTTGTGTTTTTATTTCAGATCGCCAGCATTCTCAGTCTATATTCCCTCTAATTCTTTTTGCTTCTTTGTAGGCTGTGTGCACCAATGGTTTCCGAAGTGGGAAGTCAATGCTGGGAACAGTGTCAGTGTGCACAGACTGAGCAGTCACAAGACCTTAGAGGGAGCGTTCGCCATAGTATTTCGCTTTACAATTTTGGAGCCATAGCTCGCCAAAATCATTTAGTGCCTATAGAGAGTCAAACCTTCCTTCATGTTTTAGCACAATCCTCTAACAACTTATTCAACTTCAATCTCCATGAAGCTGCAAAATCATGAGCACAAACCTTACCAAGAACTACTTTGAAGTTATGAGTGCACAGTAATGTATTGTTTGGAAATACTTGGCCCTTTATAGCTGTATAATTTCAAGGGCTCCCTTTGAAACCTTTGCACAATTTAAACTGGAACTATCTTTAAAGAATCCCAAATGTTAACTCTCCCACACGCATACCCACAGTCTGTATGTAAAAGATTAAAAATAGATGTGAGTTTTACAACAGTATTACCTCGTATAAATGGAGAAAGAAAACACACAATATCAAAACTTGCTACTGAATGTAGTAACACTCAAAGTCATTCATGCAACTTTTCCTTAGGATGTTCGGCCTTGGTGCCTTGAGGTAAAAAATATAAAATCAGTATGGTGGCAAAAACCACCAGTATTTTCCATATATAGTGCTTCTGATAGACTTTGAAGAACAATGGCTCATTTCTCCGTGCATTTAAATTCGAATGAGTAAATGAGTCCTTCAGTGCATTGCATCTTATTCGCTGGTAGACTGTGGTCTGAAACTGGCTTGGCCCTCAAGAGATAGTTGAAAAAAAATTAGCACTAAGGAAGGATGTTTCAGAACGACACAGTATGCTGGAAAAATCACCAGAAACTTCAGTAGGTCTTATGCAAAATACATTGTATGCTGGGTATCATGGTGGACCTGTACTGCCTTGGCAAGTGCCAGTGGATCCCGTCCATTGCTCTGTCCAGAGATGTGGCTTCCTTCAGCACTGTAAAGATTAAATAGATACATTTTTAAAAAGGTTGCATTAAAAAGTTTAATGTTAGACCTAGTATATACATATGTACATGTTGGAGAATGTATTAAAATCAAGCATTTAAAAACAGCACTTCAATGTGAAACATCCAATTATTATTATACAGTTCTTTAAAAGGTTTCCTATCTCGCTGCTAATACAATGTTGCCCTTCTGCGGCATTCAATGATTCAGTCAGTCAATACTTTTCTTACTATCAAATACTTCAGAACAAAACGAAATCTCAAGATAGACAGGATCACGTTAGGTGCTTTTCAATCGTGGCTCTAATAATTAATTGTGGTAATTAGAACTGACAACTTCAACACATTGAGAATTACCGAAAATTATAGCTTTTTGACTGAAAAGAACTCAGCAGCAACTACAAAAGGAGAAACGTGACTCCTTTCTTGCCAAAATGGAGAACACAACTTGCTTGATCATCACAGGGTAGTTTAGTGAATCCTGTTTTATTTAGTATTTGCAGGAGGGAACAAATGCAGTCATAAGCACATTCCATTTCCACTGGATGTACGCTAATTTGACTTGATAGTAGGAGACAGAGGATGGTGGTACAGGGTCATCGTTCAAATTGGAGACCTTTGACCAGCACTGTGCCACAAGGATCAGTGCTGAGGTCCATTGTTGTTTGTCATTTATATGAATGATTTGGATGAGAACATAGGATGCATGGTTAGTACATTTATGGATGACACTAAGATTGATGGTTACTATAGTGGACAGAGAAGGCGGTTACCTCAACAGAATCTTCATCAACTGGGCCAGTGAGCCAAGGACTTGCAGATGGAGTTTAATTCAGATAAATGTGAGGTATTGCATTTTGGTAAGGTTGCTGTGTGCACTGTTTTACAGACACATGGCTCATTCCTGCTGCACCTTACTATGCCTTACAACCGAAGGGTTTCTCATTTCACCAAACGGACTGCTTGGCGTCCTTATGCAAGGTGGTGGGGTCTGCCTCCTAATCAACACCTCCTGGTGCTCAGATGTGGAAACCCTGGTGAGTTACTCCTCCTTGAACCTAGAACATCTTCCTGTAAAGTGCCATCCCTACTACCTGCCACGCGGGTTCACCTCTGCTATCCTGACAGTGGTCTGCATCCCACCTGATGAGAGTGCACTTGATGTAGAGTACAACGCTAGAAACAGTCTTGAGATGGTATACCCCGAGGCTACGTTCATTGTAGCCAGTGACTTCAACCAGGCCACCCTCAAGAACATGCTACCAAAATACCACGAACACATCTCCTGTCCCAGAGGTCAGAACATCCCTGACCACTGCTATACAACCAAAGATGCCTACCACTCCATCCGCTATCACATTTTGAAAAATCAGATCACAAAGCTGTGCTCCTCCTTCCAGCTTACAAATAGAAATTGAAGCGTGAAGACCCAGTACAGAAATGTGTGCAGTGTTGGTCTGAGGCAATGGAAAGGCTTTCACGGGACTGCTTAGAGTCAGGAACTCAATGGCCAACCTAAACGAGTGTGCCACTACCATTATAGACTTCATTAGTAAGTGTGTAGAAAACTGCATGCTGAAGAATTTGATCTGAATGTTCCCCAACTGGACATCATGGATGAACCAGGAGATCCACTCCCTACTGAAGTCCAGGTCGGAGGCGTTCAAGTTGGGCAACCCTGACCTATACATGAAATCTGGGTATGACCTTTGTAAGGCCATCAGATATGCCAAGAGGCAATACCAAATTCAGCTGGAGACCTAGACCAAGCACACGGACACCTGTTGTTTGTGGCAAGGCTTACGCGACAAAGGGCTACGGGCTACAAGCTACAAGCGAAGTCAAACAGAATCCGCAACAGTACATCCCTTCCTGATGAGCTGAATGCATTTTACACTCAAAATGAACAGAAGGTCAGTGAAACGATGTCACCTATCTCAACAGCCTCAGATGCACCTGTACCCACAGTCACTGCTGTAGATGTTAGATCAGCCTTCTTGACAGTGAACACATGGAAAGCAACTGGCCCAGACGGAGTTTCTGGCTCTGCATTTATATCCGGTGTGGACCAGCTAGCAGAGTATTCGCAGACATCTTTAATCTCTCCTTACTATGATTTGAAGTCTTCACCGGCTTCAAGAAGATCACCATCATCTCAGTGCCAAAGAAAACTAATGCAACATGCCTCAATGAATACTGCCTGGTGGCTCTGACCTCCATAATTATGAAATACTTCGAAAGGTTAGACATGGCTCACATCAATTCCAGCCTACCAAATTGCCTTGGTCCTTTGCAATTCACCTAACGGAGCAACAGGTCCATGGCAGATGCCATCTACCTGGCCCTTCACATCCCTGGAACATCTGGATGACAAGGATACCATTGTCAGGCTCCCACGTTTTGACTACAGCTCCACGTTCAACACTATAATTCCAAACAAACTCATCTCTAAACTCCAAGACCCAGGTCTGGGCTGCCCCCTTTATAACTGGATCCTCAACTTCCTGACCCAGAGACTGCAATCAGCGAGAATACGTGACAACACCTCCTTAATCATAATCCTCAACATAGGTGCCCCACAAGGCTGCATACTCAGCCCCCTACTATACCACTTATATACTCATGACTGCATGGCTAAATTCCAACCAACTCCATTTACAAGTTTGTTCATGACACCACTGTTGTAGGTGAGATCTCAAAACAAAGAGACAGGATATAGGAAAGAAACTGAGTGTTTAGCAGCATGGTGTAAAGACAACAATCTCTCTATCACAGTCATTGACTTCACGAAGTAGAGAGGAGGGCACGCCCCTGTCTGCATCAAATGTGCTGAGGTTGGGATGGTCAAGAGTGCCAAGTTCCTGGGAGCGATGATCACCAGCTACCTGTCCTGGTCCACCTATATTGATGCGATGGTCAAGAAAATACAACATCTCTAGTTCCTCAACAGGCTAAGGAAATCTGACATGTCCGTTATGATTCTTACCAATTTTTATAGATACATTCATTCATGGAACGTGGACATCATTGGCTGTGCAGCCATTTGTTGACCATCTCCAATTGCCCAGAGGGCAGTTCAGAGTCAACCACATTATTGTGGGTCTGAAATCACATGGAAGCCAGACCAGGTAAGGAGGGCAGTTTCCCTCCCTAAAGGGCATTAGTGAACCAGATGCGTTTTTCTGACAATCAATGATGGTTTCATAGTCTTATTTTTTTTTTTCCCAGATTTTTGTTGAATTCAAATTCCACTATCTGCCATGGTGGGATTCAAATCTGGGTCCCCAGAACATTACCTGGATCTCTGGATTAACAGTCCAGCAATAATACCATTAGGCCATCATATGCCCCACTTATAGATGCACCACAGAAAGCATCCTATCTGGTTGCATCACAGCGCGGTATAGCAACTGCTCTTCCCAAGACCACAAGAAACTAGAGTCGTGAAAAAAATCCCAGTTCAACATGCAAACCAGTCTTCCTTTCATCAACTCCATCTATACTTACTGCTGCCTCGTGAAAGCAACCAACATAATCAAAGACACCTCCTGCCCCAGTTACACTTCCGCCCTCCTCCATTGTGTAGAAGATGCAAAAGTTTGAAAACAAGAATGAACAGTTTCAAGAACAGCTTCTTCTTGTCAGACATTTGACCGGACCCCTCTAATGTTAATTCTGATCTCTCTCTCTCTCTACACCTTCTCTGCAGCTATAACACTATAATTCTGCACTCTGTTCTGCTACCTGGATGTGTTTTGTATGGTACAATCTGCCTGTATTGCATGCAAAACAACACTGTTCACCGCATCTTGGTACACATGGCAACAATAAATCAAACACAAAATCAAGGCAAATCAGGGCAGGAATTTACAATTAATCGCAGGGCCCTGGAACAGAGACCCTGAGGGGTGCAGGGACATATTTCCTTGAAAGTGGCATCACAGGTAGATAGGGTGGTGAAGGTCTTTGGCACACTTGCCTTCATCAGTCAGAGCATTGGCGTACAGGAGTTGGGAAGTCTTGTACAGCTGTACAAGACATTGGTAAGGCCACACTGGAGTGCGGTGTACAATTATAGAGCCAGAGAGCTAGTTGCCCTGCTATAGAAAGGATGCAAAAAAAATTTACAAGATTGTTACCAAGACTGGAGGGTTTGAGTTACAAGGAGAAACAGGATAGGCTGGGACTTTTTCTCCCCCTGGAAGTAGGAGACGGAGGGCTGACCTTATAGAGGGTCATAGGTAGGGGAGTCCAAAACTAGACGCTATAGATTTAAGGTGAAAGGGGAAAGATTTAAAAGGGACCTGAAGGGCAACATTTTCACATGGAGGGTGTGTGTATGGAATGACCTGCCACAGGAAGTGGTAGAGGCAAGTACAATTACAACAGTTAAAAGACGTTTGGACAGGCACTCGAATAGGAAAGATTTAGGGGGCTTTGGGCCAAACGCAGGCAAAGAGGACCAGTTCAGTTTAGGAAACCTGGTCGGCATGGACAAGTTGGGCCAAAGGGTCTGTTTCCGTGCTGTAGGACTATCAGCCAGAAAACTTGTGCAAAATAATAAAACATTATTGGTAAAAAAAAAAAGTAGCTGCAACTAGCAAGTCCCTTTTGCAACCATACATTTTCACAAAGATTTACAACTCATTTGTCCTTTCCACTTCTACAACATTTTGTCACTTTATAAGTGCCTAGAATTTGGCTGCTCAGGATTGTAAACAGGTTTGCAGATGCGTTTGTCATTGGTGAGATGTAGATAACTTCAACTTATTTTAAAACCAAAAACTACAGTCAAGAAGAGGAACATGTTAAAAGTGTGGAATTGGAAATCAAACTTCATTGCAAAACTCAAGAATTTTTGAAAAGGTCTAAATAATCAATCATTTGAAACCATGCATATTGACGCTTTAAGACCCTTGCATGTTGGAGTTAGTGACTTGTTATGCACAGTATTACACAATGGGCAGCCATATTTAGAGAGAATTGCTGGAACAATTTTGTAAACTTTGAGATTACCAAAGTGGATTACAACCCCCCAACAATGCCCCTGGTCATTTAGTCCAATACGACAAGAGGAACTACCTCAATAGGAACCAAAATAAGTTTGCTCAAATTAATTCTGCTCAAAACAGAAAATTGTTTTTAAAAGGCACAAACATATGCTTTTATTCCTCCAACCCATGTGCTCCCTTTCATATGGGAAGGTGGAACACAATGATATTCTCAGTGAGTTAACTGGAGACACAGTGAAGAAGTCAAATTTGATTTCCTTTCTCTCCATAAGCTCAGTTCTCTGCATATATAACTCAAAAAAATTTAAACTCAAGACCAAAAGGAGACAAGATCTGAACTCTGGTTGATGGCCAAATAATTACAGGTATTTCTCCTATAATGCAATAGTTGCATTCTTGTGTGATCTTGTACCATAGAAAATCACTATACCTGTACAGCAGAAAGTTCGCATTATCCAAACAGCTTCCACTATTCATCAATCGCATTACAGCCAATTTATATTAACAAAACATGCATTATAACAGAAATACCTGTAATTTAACTTTAGTATTGCTGAAAAAGGATTTTGTTAAAGCTTTTCATCATGTATTCATCAGCACAATCTGCAAGAAATACCAATGTAATGTGAAAAGCACATTTATACTGGGCAATAGGAAAGTGGGGTTGGTTGGTTGACAAGTGAACTTTAAGCTATAAGCACATTAAGAATGTAGAAATGTAGAATGTAGAAATTGGAGTGTGACTGATAGCTAACTGCAAAGCTTTGTTTAAATTTTAAACTAGGAAAGCTGAGTCAGATTGGTCAAGGCATTGCCCTGAGAAATGAACCAGAGAATGCCTATTTTGTGGTGTTGAAACAGGTGCAGTATTTATACAAGTTCTTTCTGCTGTAAAGAATTTGGCCCCACGTATTAATACATGTAAGTGCATGCAAGTGCATGATACTACAATTTGACTGACCATACTAAATTAGTTGTCAGAATAATTCTTTGTATTCTCAATTACTTAGCAAACATGATCCATTTGCAGAATCATATTTAATACTGGATAATATGTTTTCCATTTTGCAAGCATATACTAGCTGAGTCAACATTTTGCCTGTTGCAAACAACGAAAGGAATATGCTGCCAGTCTGTGGGATGTACAGACTATATACCTAGCACCATTGAATTTCATGCACCACATTACTCATCAGTGTGATAGGCAGAATATTTTTGGACTTCACAGCAACATTTTGTCAGTGGTGAACACCACTGGTATTGCTATGGCATCATAGCAGCATGAAACACCTAGCTTCATCTACAGTTCAAACATTTGAGATGGAGGAGTCACAATGAGTACTTTCCCGAACCAAACGTGACCTATTCGTGAATTTGAATCGACATGCAGCAAGAAATGACCTGACTGGTGTAGTCATTATTCTGGAGGATGACTTTGATGTGCCAAGTTCTGCATGAAAGGTGAAGAAATGGGTCAGGCCCTATTTAAGAGGTTGCCAATAAGGCCAATGTAGGAATGCCAACCTGTACCTGTAGATAGCAGTAGGAAACCCCAGCCATTTTCACAACTGGGACATTAAGGAAAGAGTGCTCATTTGACTGCACCATTTTAATACTGAATTTGAACGCAAGACAGAGTGCATTAAGATGTGTAAGGAAATTTTTGTAACCATCTGCAATCCTAAAAAGAGCAAATGTATCATCTACTTATCACAAAAATGCAAAAGCTTAGAGGTTAGATGTATTATCCCAATGAAGACATATTTCTCACGGAACTCAACAATGAGGTCTGCAAGAGCTGGACATAATGAGGATTCCATTTCAACGCCATCTATTTAGGCATATTTTAATGTTACACACAGGGATGCTAAATAGTTTTGGAAACAGGACTAATTAATTATGTAACGTTATGTCTAAAATGGAGAAATTCATTAAGGTTTTGGAGTAGATTTGTAGCCCGGATTGTGGGTGTTGAGATCGGTTAGCTCACCGAGCTGGTTTGTTGTTCTGCAGACGTTTCGTTACCATGCTGGGTAACATCCTCAGTGCAACCTCCACTACATCAGACAAACAGGAAGGAAACTAACAACAAGGGTACACAAACACCAACTGGCTACAAAAAGACATGACCAATACTCACTCATCTCAATTCACATAGATAAAGGAGAACCACCAATTCGACTGGGACAACACCAAAATTCTGGGACAAGCTAAGCAGAGACAGGCACGGGAATTCCTAGAAGCCTGGCACTTCACGAAGAAAGCCATTAATAAACACGTAGAACTCGACCCCATATACACTCCACTATGAAGGAAAACCGGAAGTGAGGCAATCCAGCTCAACGGACTCCAGAGTTTAAAAACCAGGCAGGAAAACACACTGACGCTTCATCGGAGGCTGCACTGAGGATGTTACCTAGCATGGTAACGAAACATCTGCGGAACAACAAACCAGCTTGGCGAGCCAACCAATCTCTATGGAGAAATTCAATTTTCTCAGTAAGACTATGACTAGAATACCAAAATACAAAGCCAGGCCAAAACTTTACCTGTCATGATCTTTGTCCACAAGATGGTACCTTGCTCTAAATGCAACCAGTCTGGCATAATATGCTGGTGCAGGAATTGAGACAGAACGTGTACATCGTACATAAGTGTGGCACAGCTGATAGGTAAGGAGCTGCAATTCATCAGCTGAGAAGCAGTTGTCATCCCACAAGACATGGTAGTGCGAAGGACGACTGGTACCCTAAGAATAAAAGTAAAGTGGCATTAATGCTTATTGCTAGGAGGACAGACAATATGCCTGGCACTCTCATTCAGCAATAGAGTTCAAATAATTAAATAAAACAAACAAACAAATCAGGTCAAAGAATATTCACGCATTTTTCAAAGAGTTGGGGCAGCAGACAGCTGAAACAAACAAGACAGTCTGCGAAAAGAATGGATGCCTGTACAATCATTGCAAAAAAATGCAAAATCTTGGAAATTTTAAACAAATTTACATATCAAAACAAGGCAGCAGAATGCACTGTACCTGAATTCCCGCATGGCTACAGAGGTAGAAATCAAACTCAGAAGGATGAGTGATGGTGTTGTCAACAGTTGTGCCAGCAGGAACATTGCCACTTTTACCCACCTGTCAATGAAGAATAAACTGTACTTAAAAAATGGTTACAGAAAAACCAAAAGCTACAAATGGCAACAAACTTTTTTCAATAATCATGTAACACATCTCTGGCTCATTTCCTAGACTGAAGATACCCATAACACTTTATAGCCAATTAAGTACTGTTGAAATTTAGTCCTTCTTGCAATACAAAAGAATAGCATCAAATCTACAGATGGCAAAATCTGGGAGATCTGTTTCTTGGACGTTACTTGAGGGATAAACATTAATAAAGCATTGCTCTTTTTCAAGTGTGCCATGGTATTTTATATATCCACTGAGGGAGCCTTGTTTTAAGATTTCATCCCAAAGTCAGTTCCTCTGATAGTGCAGCACTCTCTTCGTAGTGCACTGAAGTATCCACCTAGATTAATGTCTAGAATGTGTCTTAAAACACACAATTGCCTAATTCAGTTGAATGTGAGACCCTAGCGACACATTTGCAATAGGATGCTGTTTTTTAATAGCCATAGAGCGCATCGATTTTCACATGAAAGATTTACATTATAATTAATATCAGCTGGTTAAACCTCCCTTACAAAAAAGGTTACGTTGTTTAAACATTCAAAAACATTATCCAAATTAAAAGAAACTTAAACCATAGACGTATTATTAGGTAAACCAGGCATCAGAGTTGAAAGTACTTAATTTTGTGGTAGAGATATGCAGAAGCAATTATGGCAATAAGAAATAGGAACAGGAATAGGCCATTTGACCCCTCAAGCTGACTTCACCATTCAATAGGATCACAGCTGATCAGAAATTCCTCACATTCACTTTCTTGACTTTTCATCGTAACCCGATTCCCCTACTGATCAACAATCTATCTCAACCTTAAGTATATAGAAGGACCTTGTCCACACAGCTCTCTGTGGCAAGGAGTTCCAAGGACTCGCAACCCTCAGAAAAAATTCCTCTTCATGTCCATCTTAAACTGATGTGGAGGTGCCAATGTTGGACTGGGGTGGACAAGGTCAGAAGTCACATGACACCAGGTTATAGTCCAACAGGTTTATTTGCAAACACAAGCTTCTGGAGTCTTACTCCTTCAGGTGCTCGTGAGAAGTAGTATCAGACACAGAATTTATAAGTTTAAAAAAAAAAATCAAAGAGTCACACCAAACAAACCTAAGATGTTGTTAAATCCTTAATCAGTTAGAAGGTTTTAATTGATTAATATGTATATGTAAATCTCGAAATTCCTTTGAGGTCACTGTCCTGAGAGAACTAAAGGTTTTATCAGTGTAAAGAAGAGGTGACATTTTAGGTCAGGCAATGTGTTTTAGGTGTGAAGCCTTGTTTAGAATCTGCTTGTGTTTTGGTTTGGAGTCAGGCTGGTTTTATTTTTAAAGTAGGAAGTTTTAAAATGCCACATTGACCAACTGTCTATAAATTGCATGCTTGTTGAACAAAATAGAACGTACACATATGAATCTATTGGTGTGTGTGTGTGTGTGTGTGTGTGTGTGTGTGTGTGTGT